GGCCTGGCCACTCATCTTTATTCAGTAGGTTTGGATCAAAAACATTCATTGACTGTTGCAAAACATTTAAAGAAAAGCATCTCCCACCACTGAGGCTATTCAAAAGAACATTTATTATAAGCTCTGAAGTCAGTTCCAGAAATATTTTTGAGCAACAATCGCCCTACTAAGGATGATGTTCATTTGGATAGAAATGTTATATACTTTAAAAGGCATTTATTACTTTATAAGCCCATCTCATGCATTAACTCCCTATCCCAATTCCACCATTTCAATATTCTGTATATTATGTATTTCAGTACTCTTAACAAACATCTTTTCTAGATGTACCATTCATAGGGTGTTTCTAGAATCTAAGCACCATGTTTTTCTCATTTGAACTATGATCTGGATCTAGAATCTCACCATAAATTAGCTTGTGACCTTGGATTACCTTAACTTTTTGTCTTGGATCCTCATTAAAACAAAAAACAAATATCAAAAAGGAACATATTGGCTGATTCAAATGGTGGCTGTAAGAAACTAAGGAAACATGCATTTTCAAAAACAGCTGAGTGAAATTACGGAAAAACAAAAATTTTCTTTGATGGTCTGAAGAAAATGTACTTTACAATTCAAAATTATACTTGAGATGGATGCACAGATCCTTGAAGTTTTCTAGAGCAGAAATGACACTACACTGATTCAAAAGGAAAATATATTTGATAAGTTTGCATCAAAATTTAATATGCCTATAGTTAAAATTCTACTGATGTATTTAAAAAATCCTAACAGTTGATCTGGGCCAGTTGGTATGCATAGGCAGAATTAATCACAAGCTTTACTTCATGATGTACAAGGCGGCTCAAATTAAAAAATTTTAGACAATTCTGGTTGAATAAAAAAACATGAAATTTGAATTTTTCTTATAAGCTGTCATCTTATGCATGCTTCTCTAAATAATGAAGCAATAGATGCTATCACAAATAAGGGTGTTAGCATATAAATATATACCTAAATAAATATGACATTTTTGTATTAAAAATGCTAAGCATCTAGTACTATAAAGAGGGGGAAACAAACCTAATACTGATGCACCTGTGTCCTATATTAGAATAACAACATAAACACAAAACTTATAGAACAATATGGTGATTAAGACCATGAGTTCTATCTCAAAGCAACATTAAAATTTTCCCAGTTTCAAAGCTTTTGCACAGCAAAGGAAACCATAAACAAGACCAAAAGACAGCCCTCAGAATGGGAGAAAATATTTGCAAATGAAGCAACTGACAAAGGATTAATCTCCAAAATTTATAAGCAGCTCATGCAGCTCAATAACAAAAAAACAAACAACCCAATCCAAAAATGGGCAGAAGACCTAAATAGACATTTGTCCAAAGAAGATATACAGACTGCCAACAAACACATGAAAGAATGCTCAACTTCATTAATCATTAGAGAAATGCAAATCAAAACTACGAGATATCATCTCACACCGTCAGAATGGCCATCATCAAAAAATCTAGAAACGATAAATGCTGGAGAGGGTGTGGAGAAAAGGGAACCCTCTTGCACTGCTGGTGGGAATGTGAATTGGTACAGCCACTATGGAGAACAGTATGGAGGTTCCTTAAAACACTAAAAATACAACTACCATATGACCCAGCAATCCCACTACTGGGCATATACCCTGAGAAAACCATAATTCAAAGTCATGTACCAAAATGTTCATTGCAGCTCTATTTACAATAGCCCGGAGATGGAAACAACCTAAGTGTCCATCATCGGATGAATGGATAAAGAAGATGTGGCACATATATACAATGGAATATTAGCCATAAAAAGAAACGAAATTGAGCTATTTGTAATGAGGTGGATGGACCTAGAGTCTGTCATACAGTGTGAAGTCAGTCAGAAAGAGAAAGACAAATACCGTATGCTAACACATATATATGGAATTTAAGAAAAAAAAAAGTCACAAAGAACCTAGGGGTAAGACAGGAATAAAGACACAGACCTACTAGAGAATGGACTTGAGGATATGGGGAAGGGGAAGGGTAAGCTGTGACAAAGCACGAGTGGCATGGACATATATACACTACCAAACGTAAAACAGATAGCTAGTGGGAAGCAGCCGCATAGCACAGGGAGATCAGCTCGGTGCTTTGTGACCACCTAGAGGAGTGGGATAGGGAGGGTGGGAGAGAGGGAGACGCAAGAGGGAAGAGATATGGGAACATATGTATATGTATAACTGATTCACTTTGTTATAAAACAGAAACTAACACACCATTGTAAAGCAATTATATTCCAATAAAGATGTAAAAAAAAAAATTTTCCCAGTTTAAAAAACATAGTGTGTGTATGGGGAGGGGGGCCGGTGGGCAACTAAGGGAATGTGGAAAAAGGAAACTGAATATTCTATAGGGCATTAAAACAAAAGTCTTCTGTTTTCAGATAAAGAAATATGGAGTAAATAAAGAAAATACATATGTACCTAATTCAAGATAAATTACTATATTAGAGCATATATGAAAACTGAGTTTGGGGTTGACCTGGCATTGCATATACTGGTATGAAAACTGCACATAAATTTCCCTTTGTATCATAAAGTTAATGATGACCATCACTAAAATTGAATTTTCTTTATATAGCAGGCAATAGAAAACAACAAGTATCTAAATTAATCTAGTTAATGTATTTAGTACTGCTGTGTAATATTTAATGCTTAATCAAAAGTAGCAAAAGCTGAAATTTAGACTGTTACTTAAAAGATGCAGCAAGAAAGGCATTTTTTCTCATTTATAATTCTTCTAATCTGATCATCTGTAATGTTACAATCTTAGATTTATGCAATATCCACAATCTTGTTCGTTCATTAAAAAATGTGGTAAACATCACCCTATTGATGTGTAGTCTCCTTAATTTCCTAGAAGTGAAATGAAGAACCAGTCACCTGTTCAAGATAACTTGGCTTATTATTAGCACAAGATTTTATACTTTTTAACTCTTAGTTTGGTGCTGTGATATACCAAAATACTTCTAGACTAATAAATATTTGTTTAAACCAACAAACCATTAGGTGTAATATATAATATTTAAGAGTTTATTATAGCCTAATAGGAATATAAAGACAGCACAAATATGACTAGCCTGGAATTAAATGAGATTTATATATTGCAAATGAAACACCATATATAAAATCAACTGCATCTATTGATTTCCAGAACTTATGTGTTTTACCAAACTTAGATATAACTAAACAGAAGCTCAACTTAGCACTGCTAAGTCTAAATACAACCAAGCTTTGTTAATTTGTATGAATTTTCCTCTACACAGATAGGAATTACTAGCTTTAAACACTCTTCAATCTTTAACAGCAACTTTATATAATTTCTCAGAATACCTGCACCATTTTGAAAGAATAATTGATAAATCTAGCAAAACGACCCACAGCTAAGATGACAGCTCCATATATAGCAAGATGTCTCTAAATGTATTTCTCTTTTAACATGAGCTGAATTTACTTATAGTAAATTGTATTCCTCTATATTAACAGCTCTTCAAAAGGAGACTTATCTGCCAATAGTAATTGCATGAAAGATAAGCAGTCTAAAAAGCATAAAATAATCTAGACAATACAAAAATGAAATAGTAACTGAATAAAACAAAGGATTTTGTGGTACTACTTTCTGTGCCGAAAAAGTATTGGGTAGATTTGCACATAATCCAAAAAGTAAACTAATCACCAAGTGTCAGAAAACTATTAAGGTCTCAATACTATATAAAATCATCTCTTAAATTGAACCAAATAAAAATTCCTGCTACTCAAATCATATGGCAAGATGTCCTGAAGCCAACAGTTTCATACATCCTCAGAAAAAGAGAAACTTAATGCTAAAAAGATCAAACACCAAGTGTTCATCAAACCTTTCAGTCAATAGTCTTTATTAACATGCAAATATCATTTGCCGCAAGCTATACAGTTTTTCCTAATCTTTCAGTTCTACTTCAATATTTTGAACTTCTGGACCTAACATATAAAGTAACCTACTAAAATGGGTCAAAGTTAAACTGTATTCTAGCTATCACCTTGACCTTTAAGATCACCACTTAGGTTTATAATTGGCATTATTTTTCACCAAGTAGCAGAATATAATTCTAGTACTTGATAATTCTATACTAAAATATGTAACAGTATGTCTTAAGATGTTATTAAAATATATACAACATTTATATTTAATTGCTTTCAGTAGCAATGTTAGGTCTCCTAAGAGGAAAAATTACTTTTATTGATCTTGTTTGTTTATGGTTTTTGCAGGTTCCAGAAAAACTGGTTCATATTGAACCAGTCTTAAAGAAGCAAGCTGAAGACTTAAATTTATAGACCCTATAATAACAGCTTTGTTTTACTACTTAGAGACAATAATAAACCCAACTCTAGTGCTTCTTTTTCCACGACTAAGCAGAGACGCTCTATTATATATAGTTCTTCAAATTTTTTTGTCTTAGTGTAAAAGCTGAATGACCTCTTCTGTAAGTTTGAGTTCAGCAGAAGACCCAGATTATGGATATCATATCTAGTGGGACATACTTTAATTAACAGAAGATAATTAATATACTATATCAAAGTGCATTATTAGATTTGCACTGCATCTCTCCACGTTTTTCTTATTTTATAACATTTCAGTTGAATGGAGGAAGACTGGAATTGTCAGAGAAGTCTTGCTCTTAGGATCTAGATGAAAAAGTTCATAGTGAGTCTTTTAAAACATATTTAAATAATGAGAAGTGTAATCACAACAAGGGACTATGTAAGAATGAATATTGCAAAGGAAACTTTATACAATGGATTGGCCAAAATGCACAATGCACATGAAACTGAAGTCATGTAGTTTACTTGTTGACCATGTGGCTACAGTTCAAAAAGTCTCTGCTCCAAAAGCTGTACCTAGTAATCTTCCAAAATTGATTTTAAATAAAGTTCTTAAATTGTAGCAATAAACAGAAAGACAAGATACACTTAAACAATACTGCAGTTTATCAAAAGACACATAAGAAATTTCAACTCTCATGTCTTTGACAGTTATAAAAATCAATATTTTGGCTAAGTTATAAACATGTTTATAATGCAATTATATGCAACTGCATAACTCTAGTAATGCTAATGACAGCTATAAGATCAGAATAGGTTTTTAAAAAAACACTAAAAACAAAAAAATATGTAGCCCCATTATTTACCTGTAGAATGTGTTGAATTTATGCCTAAATTTCAGCATTTACTATATCACCACTGCTCTAATTTTAAAAATCACATCCAAAGGATAAGGCAAAACCACCTACGAATTGGCATATTTGTTTATTTCTCAATTTGTGAAAATGTCCTTAATTTGTTGATGTAGCAAACAAATTTCAACTCTGATTGCTATGCAAAAGAACAGAAGATAATCTGCTTTGCAACGAACTTTAAAGTTCAATTGCACACAGGCAACATGCTATATATGAAAAAATTACTAACTGAACTACAGGTATTAAATACTGAAAAAAGTTAACAGTTTATTATAATTTATTTTATTTAACAATCTAGGAAGTTTGCAGCCATCAGCAGTTCCAGTGCAATTTCAGGTGCAATTGGAAATTCAGGAATCTCCGTGGAGCTGTTAGTGTAGCGAACCTTGTAGGTAAAATACATGCATACTTTTGATAGCACATGTGAAGGGATCTCTCTAAAATTGACTTCATTAGTTTCGTTCTCAGCAAATTGACCTGGAAAAGAAAAGGAATTTGTTTGTGATATATGGGCTGACCTGTGTTCCTCCAAAATTCATATGTTTAAGTCCTAACCTCCAATACTTGAATGTGACTATGTTTGGAGATAGGTAATTAAGGCCCTAATCCAATATGACTGGCATCCTTATCAGAATAGGAGATGAGGCTGCAGACACACAGAGGTAAGACAACAATGGGAAGACACAGGAAGAAGATAGTCATCTACAAGGCAAGGAGACCTCAGAAGAAACCAACTCTGCCAACACCTTGATCTCTAATTTCCACCCTCCAAACTTGTGAGAAAATAAATTTCTGTTTAAATCATCCAGTCAATGGTACTTTGTTATGGCAGCCCTAGCAAAACTAATATAATGCAAAGATGATAAACCCAACTAGCATAAAATGAAATATGTAGATTTCTGAGTAGAAACATTAAAAAAATCTTTATTAAAACGATTCAGTCTAGGGAATTAAGTATTTATAGGCCAGCAGGAGCTCTGTGCTATGTTGTCATGTAAATATAAATAAGTGAAAACACTATCCTTAAAGTATCTTTTCAAGAAAGTAAATCCACTGTTTTCCCCTTTAGTTTTTGAAAATATGGTCATGTTAATGAGCTCTCATAAGCTACTTCCTCCTTTTGTTTAATAACAGTTCATAAACTGTTTTTAGTGATCTCTCAGAATTTCTTTAGCTATATGATTTCTTTACTATTGGGATAAAATATTTTCTTGGCAGTCTAGCACTAGCACTGTGCACTGAATATAAAAGGCAGAAAAATGTACTTTCTGAGAATGTAGTATTTTAAAAGTTTTCTAGTAACTGTCTATTGGTTGGGGGTAGGATGGGATGCGGAGAAAGGAAAGAAGGATTCAGCACATAATTCACAGCAATGAGGTAAATTTTTGTTTGCCAATAAAGAAAACTCTTTCTTAAATGTATGTATGAAATATTACCAATAGGCACTTATTAAGCCTTTGACACTAGACAAACATTAGTGTTTTCTTTAGGTGAAATTCACATAACAGGTGGGAATATAAATTGGTATAGCCACTATGGAGAACAGTATGGAGGTTCCTTAAAAAACTAAAAATAGAGTTAGCATATGATCCAGCAGTCCCACTCCTGAGCGTATATCCAAAAAAGACGAAAACTCTAATTCGAAAAGATACATGCACCCTTATGTTCATAGCAGCACTACTTACAATAGCCAAGACATGGAAGCAACCTAAATGTCCATTGACAGATGAATGGATAAAGAAGATGTGGTACATATATACATTGGACTACTACTCAGCCAAAAGAAAAGAACAAAATAATGCCATTTGCAGCAACATGGATGGACCGAGACACTGTCATACTGAGTGACGTCAGACACATAAAGACAAATATCAGATGATACCGCTTACATGTGGAATCTAAAATAAAAGGGTACAAATGAACTTATTTACAAAACAAGTAGAGTCACGGAGGTAGAAAACAAACTTATGGTTACTGGGTGGGAAAGAGGGGGTGGGATGAATTGGGAGATTGGGACTGACATATATACACTCCTATGTATAAAATAGGTAACTAATGAGAACCTGCTGTAGAGCACAGAGAACTCTACTCAATGCTCTGTGGTGACCTAAATGGGAAGGAAACTAAAAAAGAGTGTGAATATATGTATACGTATGACTGACTCACTTTGCTGTACAGCAAGAAACTAACACAACATTGTAAAGCAACCGTGCTCCGATAAAAATTAATAACAATAAAAAAAAGAAATTCATATAAAAGTCACCAACTTAAGATGTACAATTCAGTGTACATTCACAATGCTGAGCAACCATCCCCTCCATCTGGTTCCAAAACATTTTCGCTACCCCAAATAAAACCCACACCGCAGCCTCTGGAAAACACCAATCTACTTTCTTTCTCCCCGTTTTCGGGGTTTTTTTTTTGCCACATTGCGCAGCTTGCAGGATCTCAGTTCCCTGACCAGGAATTGAACCCAGGCCACAGCGGTGAAAGCACCGAATCCTTAATCACTAGACCACCAGGGAACTCCCCTCTACTTTCTGTCTCTATGGATTTATCTATTCTGGATATTTCATACAAATGGAATTATACAACAATGTGTGTCTGGCTTCTTTCACTTAGCATAATGTTTTAAGGTGCATCCACCTTGTAGCATGCATCAGTACTTCATTCCTTTTCATGCAAACATTAGTTTGGTGCTGAAAGTTTGAAGCTTCAAAGATAAAACTCTTGTTTTTAAATTAAAGGAGATCAGGCTTTGTAAAAATCCTTTTATCTCAATTTTTAGTTAAAATTTTGTTGGCATCGGGATTTTTCCCCTAAAGTACATCCTAGTTCTGTCCAGTAGAGAAGTCTAAAAGCACTTCAATCCAGGAGCAATGAGTACTGCTAGCACCCACAGTGGGGTATCTAAGTACCATTTTCCACTAAAAAACAAACCGAAAAAACCCACCCCCCCAAACCCCAGGGCTCTTTAACAAATGGCTGTTTTTAGGATTGAGGAATAATGTACAAAATGAACCTGAGAAATTTTGTTATTACAGAAAGTAATACAGCTATTCAAGACTAAGAAAGCTGTGTCAAAAGGACACAGGAGCCAACCTGATGTGCTCCTTCTGGCATAAAAACGGAGCCGTTTGAGCATCAGTAAGAATGACTGCACCTGACTGAAAAATATCCAATAAAAAGTATATATGCAACAAAACAAACAAAACAAACACTCTTTACTGTTGGAGGATGTTGGAGAACCAATTCTTTACTCTGAAAAATTACATGTAAAGGGGAAAAAAAAAATCAAGCATTTATCTTTTCTTTCCCGTACAGACTATATTTCAGGGTAACCAAATAGTTCTTCTTTATAGGAGAGTTCTAACTAATAAATGCAGAAGAAATTACAGAATTAGAAAATCTCTGTTTTATAATTCCAAATGAAGTAAATCTCAGCAATAATCACAATGAATGCTAAAACTAAATATTATATGAAAGTCTGACTGGGGAATTGCTCATGGACAAATCAGCTTGATAACTCTGGAACCCACTAATCAGTCTTGACATTGCTAAAAGATGTGATACAATAGGACTACAAGAGTTCCACCTATAAAGTATTCTTGCTAGAAAGATAAACTGGATTCTGTTCAAGGCTCTAGAGTTCTAATTATGAATTTACAAGATGAAACATGATTAAGTATAACCTGGATGTGGACATTATACAAATAACTTTGTTTCTAGTAAAACTGATAGTCTGAAAAAAAAAGCTGGGGGGAGGTTGCAGGGGGACAATCATAGATTTTGCAAGTGAAATAACCTAATGTCAGGAACTTGCTTGAAATACTCTTTTAAAAAAAGTTAGGATAATAGACAAAACAAAACTGGCAAAATGTTGACAACTATTGAAGCTAGTTGATGGGTACAGGAAGGTGTGTTATGCTATTCTCTCCAAGTCTGTGTATGTTCTAAAATCTTCATAGTAAAAAATATAGAAAAGGGATTGCAAAGGATCTGAAATAGCCAAAACAATTCTGAAAAAGAAAAACAAAGTTGGGGGCCTCACACTTCCCAATTTCAAAACTTACTACAAGGCTACAGAAATCAAAGCAGCGTGATACTGGTATAACGACAGATACATAGATCAATGGAAATCGAGAGCCCAAAAAGAAACCTACATATCTATGGTCAACTGATTATCAACAGGGATGCCAAGACCATTCAGTATGGTCTCTCTGACAAATAGTAATGGGATGTCCACAAGCAAAAGAATGAAGCTGATTCACACTATATGCAAAAATTAACTTAAAATCAAGAACCTAAATGTAAGTGCTTAAAACACAACTCTTGTAAGAAAACATAAGGTAAATCTTCATGACATTGAATTTGGCAATGGATTTTTAGACAGGACTCCAAAAATCACAAACAACAAAAGGGAAAATAAATTGGACTTCATCAAAATAAAAAACTTCTGTGCATCAAAAGATACTATCAAGAAAAAACAGCCTACAGAATGAAGAAAATATTTGCAAATCATTTATCTCATAAGGTATAAAGAATGTATAAAGAACTCTTTATAAAGTTCAGAATTTATAAAGAACTTATAAAGTGTCCAGAATTTATAAAGAACTCTTAAACTCAACAACAAAAAGACAAGTCAATTAAAAAATGGGCAACAAAATTGAATAGATATTCGTCAAAAGAAAATATGCAAATGACCAGTAATGCATTTAACTTCATAAGTCATTAGGGAATTGCTAATCAAAATTACAATGAGATACCACTTCACACCCACTAAGATGGCTACAATCAGAAAAATGGAAAATAACAAATGTCAGAGAGGATGTGGAGAAACTGGAACCCCCTAATACACGGCTGACAGGAACGTAAAATGGTTCAGCCACTGTGCAGACAGTTCAGCGTTTCCTCCAAGAGTTAAACACAGAATTACCCTATGCTCCAGAAATTCCAACCCTCAAGAAAAATTTTCTTGAGGTAAAATGGGAACAGTAGATATGTGGGAAACAATAACTTCTACAGGTAAACTTTACATGTAACCAGGGGCACAAATCACCAGAGTCCTTCTGTGGTGAACTGACCATGGAAACATAGGGAAATGATCCTTCCTATTACAAAATAATCAATTAGCTTTTATTGAAACTATGGTAAATAACTGCAAACAGGAAACAGCAGAAGCCACTTTTTTCCCAATGCAACATAACCATGCAGTAATTAATGTTAGAACAGTTACTGTCTTTCTTTTAATGTTATGAGTCATTTAATTCAACTTAAAAACACATTCATCAAACATTTAAAAAGTGAGGATATATTAAGAGGAAATAAAGAAATGTACCTACCTGGGCCACTCAACATGGCTTTTATTGTTCCTGATGTTAGCGCATGTTCTCTTTTTACAATAAATTCATGACCATCCGAAGATATCAATTTGACATACATGGCGTCAGGGCCCTCACAGCCACCATAGGTTTTCTCTTCTCCATCTAAAGTATGTAGTAAAATAATTTTTGAATCACAAAATTTATTAAAAGTAAACAGGTTTACCAAGGTTAGTATCTGAATAACTCAGAGCAGAAACATTTCTGGAGAGTAATAGCCACCAAGATTTTAAAGTTTTTAACTCCTTATTTTATTATTCTCTAAATATTTTCCAATATCAGAATAAACTTTACATTCAAGGATGTTTAATTTATTTTTATTTTTAATTTTTGGCCACATGGCTTCTGGGATGTTAGTTCCCTGACCAGGGATTGAAAATGGGCCACAGCAGAGAAAGCGCCAAGTCCTAATCACTGGACCACCAGGGAACTCCCAAGGATGTTTACTTTAGATGAAAATTTACCAGTATTTTTCATGGAAGTATTAACAATTTGTGAACACAGCAGCACATTCAAATTTGAAGACTAAAAGAAAATATTCAAATAGTAAAACTTTAATTCTATGACCTGAAATACTCATTTTTAATGTAAGATGCATAGTGTGTTTATGAATAAATGTTCATATGCCATGTGAGCGCAACTTCTGACAAGCCCCGTATTCTAAAATTTAGGGCCTTCTTTACTCAGCATTTTACTCTTGATCCATAAAAAAACGATCAAAAAATTTTACTGCCCAGTTTAAATTATTGCATGAATATTGAAACAGTGACTACAGACAAATAATCAATCTTTAAAAATTCAAAGTAGAGGTGAGGTAGCTACCAGCTATCCTCAATGTCACCATGCCGGCTTCAGCCACAGGAACTGGCTCAACGTAACTTTCTGAGGGAGTATGTATTTTTATACAATGCTTTAAGATCTTTTCTCACACGTATAACTTTACAATTTTGTACTGACAGAATTTTAATTTTTATGGTACCAATATCTGAAAGAAAATATCTTAAGGCTTATTCTAAAAACTTAGGAAGACTTAGCGAGAAGTACAGAGGATGAAGCTGAACTACTGTTCAGTTACAAACATCCATTTACTCATTCATTTGTTATTAATTTAGAAATCCTTAAAGCTGAGATTAATAAATATCAAAATCACTTATGTACTACCACTGCCAAAAATGTTTAACCTGAATCTAATGAGAAGGAAATACTCAGACAAATCTAAATTTAAATGAGTCATGAAAGACCTCACTCCTCACCCAATCCCAAAAGTAGGGAACTCTTTAAAGACAAAAGAGATAAATTAATGCAATAAGTAAATCCTTGACTGGACCCTGGATTTAAAAATAATAAACCCACTGTAAAGAACACTATTGAAAAAACTGAAATTCTGAATATGGACTGAATTATGAGATGCATGCTTAAGCATTTAGGTGTGGAGTATTACATGTACAACTAAATAAATAGAACAGAAAAAAAGCTTATGTGTGTTTTTGTGTGTATATGTGGGTACATAAACACATACATACGTATACACGCAGGAAAAGCAAATATGACAAAACGTTAACTAGTGAAGGCTATAGTGTGTTATTCTTGCAATTTTTCATAATAAAAAGCTGGGGGACTCATAAAGATGCATGTAACTTCTAATTATAGACTATTCAAGTGTACAGATTTTTAGCAGCTTTTGCCAACCTCTGAGAACAAAAATAAAAATTATCAATTATTTAAATTTATACTTCCAGTATTTTTTTTTTTGGGGGGGGCAAGAGAAACCACTTTCTATGTCTGTTGGGAGAGTTTCTAATTTCCTAAGGTACAATAACTAGCAATCACAAATTAAATTTGGCATAATAATGTTACTGATCTGCTTTTCAGAAATATATAATAAACATAAGCTGCTGATTTAAACAACTAATTTCAGTCTACTCTACTTTCTTACTTGCATTCACTGACTTCAAAGGCCTATCTTTGAGAAGAAAGCTTCAACTAATTGAACTACAAAATGACTTTTATATAACTTACCCATTATGTTCTTATGAAATTCTACTTTGAGTCCACAGGAGCTTTAGTAGTGTCCTGAAATATAACAATGCTATATTGAGATTAATGCCAGAATAACATGTTTTCCCGTTATTTTTAATTTTTATTTATTTGTTTATTTATTTATTTTTGCGGTAGGCCTCTCACTGCTGTGGCCTCTCCCGTTGCGGAGCACAGGCTCCGGACGCGCAGGCTCCGTGGCCATGGCTCACGGCCCTAGTCGCTCCGCGGCATGTGGGATCTTCCCAGACTGGGGCACGAACCCTTGTCCCCTGCATCGGCAGGCGGACTCTCAACCACTGCGCCACCAGGGAAGCCCTTTCCCGTTATGTTTTAATACGTCCTTGGTGTTACAAGTGGAAGGACTCTCTCTCTCTGCTATGCAAGTTTCCCACAATATGGAACAGTATCAAGTTTCTGAACATCTGAGAGAAGATGATCACCTCCAGGACAGTAAAGTCTACAGATTTTCCCCTCACCTTTTTAAGGTAACTATTCCGACAACAGTTTAAAAACACATATGTTGTTCCTTAGGAGCTGAACTGAACTTGAAGGAGACACCCTTGGCCTTAATCATCTTTGTATACTATAGCTACTAGATACTGGTAAACATTAAAGCAAGTATCTGGTAAATGAATGACAACATGATAAATCCAAGGACGTGAAGTAGCTTTCATGTGAACAAAAAAGGTAAGGCTTGCCCTCTTCTATGTAAGTGTGTGCATCTATAATACATTTTACTGTTCCATCCCTTCTGCACAGAGGCTACCAAAGTTCTGAGATTGAACAATGAAGTGTTAAAAAAAATTTAATTTTTGAGAAATCTTAAATTTCACGAAAGAAATGACTACCAAAGGAAAAGAGCCCATGTTTTCAGTAATTTGTATTTTAACAGCATTTCTTAAAAGGAGGATTTTTTTATCCGAATATTATTTTTTATGTCATTATCAGGAAAACAGTGTATCCTAATTATCCTGTTCTCTAAGAAATTCCTGACCAATAAACCTATGTAATCCCTCACCTTAAAAAACATCATTGATGTATAGAGAGGCTGAATGATTTGCTCCAGGTGTTGACAGAGTCGGGGGTGGCGTGGGGTGGGGGGTGGAATTAAATGTTAGTCTAGAACACTCCCCAAGCAGGGAGGGAGGTATTTAAAGTACCATGTCTAATGTGAGAGAAAGGCAGCAGGGGCAATGTAACATTTTTACCAACAATTTGAGGGCCTAATGAGTGTAAACATTGCATTAAATGCCTTGCATACATTGTCTTATTTTAAAACAACACTTCCACAGGGGAATTATCATTCCCATTTTAGAGATGAGAAAACATGAGGAGGCTGCTACCTGCTCAAGGCTTCTACAGCTTAAGTGGCAACATGAGAATTTAAACCTGGGTAGGTTTGCTTTAGAGCCCACGCTCCCTTCCATTATTCCATACCACCATGGTAACAAATTCTGGCTCCTGTTAAAACTTCTTTTCCACTACTGCTGAGAGGTGCTGATATAAATCCTTAGATAGTTATCTAAAATTTAAAAACAGTACTCTGTCATTTTTTGGTCATAGTAGTAAAAAGCAATTAAAAAATTTATCAGTCATTATTATTTTCTTCTGTCCATACTGCTTTGTACTCCTTCTAAAACACAAAAAAAGGGAAAAATGCTAGAAAAGCTAGAAGAAGAAGAATTTCAAGTGCCAACTTTTCTCTGGAAAATCTCCAGAGCAAAATATCCAGGTTGTTTACTTAACTAGCAGTAGCTAAGCAACCATGAAAAGTCACACCTTAGAAGCCCTTTGGGTAGCAACAGTTTTTCTACAGACTTCTTAATATAGTAAATCAATTCCATCATTTATACAAGGGTTAAGGTTGGGTGGGGGAGGGAGCTCCCCATCACTAACAAAGAGAGTAAATCAACACTAACAATTAGGAGTAAACACTGATTCCTACGTGGAAGTTAAAAATATTTGAAATATGATTAAATTAGGACTTAACCCACAAATAACCTATAAAATCTAAGTTTGGGGCTACAAAATCTCAGTGTGAACATCTGAACATCTACTCCATAACTGAATTAGGTATATATGAATTAGGTAGGTAAGAGGAAGTGGTTGAACAGTGGGTGAGAATAGTTCCAGGCAGAAGACATGAACAAAGGCTTGATGTCATTGTGCTTTTAGAGTGTTATATATAAACATTACTTTTTTATAGTTTTTTATTTTTTATATTTTTATTACCTAACAAATACTTAGAAATTCTAGGTGAGCCTAGGGCCTACACTGAAATCAGTTTTTATCCTAGTATCTTTGAACACCGAAAAAATCTTTAAACAGCCCATCCCTTTTCTGATTTGAAATGTTACCTTTATCATATACTATATTACTACGTGGATTTCTACACTGTATTCTGTTCCATCAATCTGTTTATACCTGACCAATATCCCCACTGTTTTAATTACAATAGTGTGATAAACATGTTTTTGCTAAGGAGTTGGGAAAGTCCACATTTTGTTATTACACATTTCTTGTTAGGTCTACTTTTAGGTACTTTACAGTTCTCATTATGAATGGGATCTGTTTTTTCGATTATACTTTCTGAAAGGTTATTGCTGGTGTTTTAAAGAAAACCTTTTACATTCGGTAAGTTGAGCTTGTATTCCATGATCTTCACAAACTCTTATTAGTTCTAATAGTTTTTCAGCTGACTTGCTTGGATTAGCTAAGTAGATGAGAGCAACAGCTGCAAATCTATTCTTTGTATCTTTTTGCTTTTTTACATTGGTTATTTACCTGGAAAAAATAAGGTTAGATGTCTAACCGACATCACTCACAAAAACACACTACAGATTAAAGAACCAAATGTAAAAAACCCCCACTGAACTCTAGAAAAATAGCAGAAGAAAAAATACAAATAGCTCATAGACCTGTATAAAAATGTTTGACCCCAATGGTAATAAGAAAACTAAAACATTAAAACTTGCTAAGAACCAAGTTTTGGAGGGAAGGGGAAATGGGTGATACTAAACAAAAATAGTATATTTATACTTTTGAAATATTATGGGGCAGTGAAAAGGAATAAGTTAAACCTATGTATATAATAACATGGAAATACCAAGATAAACTGTTAATTTTTTTAAAAGCAGATTAGAATGATAGGTACAGTTTGATGTCATTTAAGTAAAATAAGGGATTTCTCACCTATTAACCTCATGTTTTCTGCTGGAAAAAAAATATATAAAAATAACCCTGAATAGCCAAAACAATTTTGAGAAAGAAGAACAGAGCTGAAGGTACCATGCTCCCTGATTTCAAATCACTACTACAAGCTACAGTAATCAAGACAGTATGTAAAAAACAGTCACATAGATCAATGGAACAGAACAGAGAGCCCAGAAATAAGCCCACACTTATCAATTAATCAAAGACAAAACAGCCAAGAATATTCAGTGGGAAAAAGACAGCCTCTTCAATAAATGGTGTTGGGAAAACTGGACAGCTACTGCAAAAGAATCAAACTGAACTACTGTCTCATACTATATACAAAAATAAACTCAAATACTTAAATGTAAGACCTGATATCGTAAAACTCCTAGAAGAAAACACAGGGCGTTCTCTGACATTGGTCTTAGCAGTATTTTTTGGGATATGCCTCCTCAGGCAAGGGAAACAAAAGCAAAGATGAACAAATGGGACTACATCAAACTAAGTAAAAAACTTTTGCACAGCAAACAAAACCATCAACATAATTAAAATGCCACCTACTGAATGGGAGAAGATGTTTGCAAACAATCTGATAAGGGGTTAATACCCAAAATATATAAAGAACTCATGCAACTCAACATCAAAAAAACCCTAAACAACCCCAATTAAAAAATGAGCAGATGGGCTTCCAAAAAAAAAAAAAAAAAAAAAAAAGAGCAGAGGACCTAAATAGACATTTTTCCAAAGAAGACACACAACACACAGACAGCCAACAAATACATGAAAAGATACTCAACATCATTAATCACCAGGGAAATGCAAATTGAAACCACAACGAGATGCCACCTCAGACCTGTCAGAATGGCTATCATCGTTTTTGGCAAGGATGTGGAGAAAAGGGAACCCTCACGCAGTGCTGGTGGGGTTGTAAATTGGTGCAGCCACCATGGAAAACAGCATGGAAGCACTACCATAAATCCAGCATGCCACTTCTGTGTAATTTTTCTAAAGACAACAAGAACACTAATTCAAAAAGATACACACACCCCTACATTCACTGTAGCATTATTTACAATAGTCAAGATATGGAAGCAACCTAAGTGCCCATCGATAGATGAATGGATAAAGATATGATACACACACACATACACACTACAAGATTACTCATATAATGGACTATTACTCAGCCATAAAAAAGAATGAAATCTTGCCATTTGTGACAACATGGGTATTATACTAAGTGAAATAAGTCAGACAGTGAAAGACAAAGACTGCATGATTTCACTTATATGTGAAATCTAAAAACCAAAATGAATGAACAAACACAACGAAACAGAACCACAGACTCACAGATACAGAAGAACAAACCAGTGACTGCCACAGGTGAGGGGGTGGGGGAATGAGTGAAGTAGGTAAGGGAGATTAAGAGGTACAAACTGCCAGTTACGAGTCATGAGTCACGGGGATGAAATCTACAGCATGGGGAATATAGTCAATAATACTGTAATATCTCTGTACAGTGACAGATGGCACTAGACTTATTGTGGTGATCATTCTGTAATGTATAGAAATATAGAATCACTATGCTGTGCACCTGGAACTAACGTAGTGCTGTGGGTCAATTATACACCAATTTTTTAAAAAAATTCATAAAAATACATGTTTGAAAGTACAAATAACTAGGAAACTATGATTTAAAACTGATTTTTAAAAGAAACAAGCATGTGGAACTAAGCCACTCATGAAGGAAACAATGGTCAGTCAGCCTGATGATTTGTTCTTAACAATATGTAAGAATATGATTAATTTGGAAAACAAAGTAAATTACATTAACCAAAAATTATCTAATGTTTAGGCCTATTTGAAGAGGCAAGAAGAGTGGCTTTGGCCATTAATACAAATTGACAGAAGTTACACAATTCCAGTTTGTAACAAGACATCAGAATTTCTTGCCTAGAATGTGCTTATAGTGTCGCTGAATTTATGTATCTCAGGATGAGGTAAGATTCTCATTCTGGCTTATTCAACTTATAACAATGCTCCTATAGTGCTTAACTCTTGTGTAGGCACTTTTAATACTTTTGGCAAAGTAACTCAGTGTCGTTAGAAGTCCATATTTGAATTTCTACTCTGCGCATTTCTATCTGGAGACCCAGATAGGTTAAATGATAAGACTTCTGTTTCTTCATCTCCCAAATGAGGAAATTGGACTCAACTGTGCCTAAAGTCCCTTCCAGCTCTACCATTTCATGACTGAACCCATGTGAAATTCACCCTCCCTCTACAACAAACTGCCCATAACTCCCAATTTCCCATCTTTATTAAGCAAGAGTCACTCCCACACAGCACACAACTCAAGAGCTCTAGAGTGCTGTGTTCCCACTGAGACTGTCTTGTCTGCCTTACCCTGTAACCTACCTAATCTCCCTCTTACACAGTGATCTCCAACCTCCTTTGTTTTGGTCTAAAAAGTAAGAACAAGTACTTCACTATACAGTGTGTACCTAATTATAGATTCTACACACTATAAAATAATTAAAAAGAACCTTTAAATGATGGGCTGAAAGTAAACATAAACCCAACCCTGATCTTGCTTCATCCCACTGTGAAGTTCATGAAGACTGGCACCATGAGTGCCTCGCAGCCCTTACACCCTTAACTCCCTGCCCTCTCCTCTAATGTAGGTACCCACCCAAACCCCAACCCTGGCCAAACCTGATTCTCCACCGAGCTCAGGCCTCAACCAAAGACTCAATTGGCTGAAGAAAAGTCACAACCATTGTGACTAGTCTCAATTTTAAATTTATGGCCACACACTTTAAACAGATACTTGGTGTCGGACTGATCCTCCTAGCTAGTCAACTGGCTTTCCTACTCTGAGAAAATTCATGGCATCCCCTAAACCTCCAACATACCTCTCCTCCCTACCCTGAAAACTTCACTTATTTCACCAGCAAAACAGAAACAAATCACTTCAACTGCCTTATCTTTCCACCTTCATCCTACCTGCATCTATATACCATATACTTCCTGTTTCAAAAGTTGAGTAAAAATCATCCTTCCTATGCAAGGCCAACCTTTCCAGCTAAGCACAGTGATCCAAGGACTTTGTCCTGCCACAATTCAACATATCAAAATGCTGTAACATCATCACTACCATACACCTCTCTGTAACCCATACTGATCAGATTTTTTAGACCTCTAGTCCATTCAAAGTGCTCTTGTCAAATTTCAACTACTTGGTCACTGGGTCAGTTTTTTTAATTATTTATTCATTTAAAAATATTTATTTATTTATTTGGCTGTGCGGGGGTCTTAGTTGCAGCATGCATGTGGGATCTAGCTCTGGACCAGGGATCGAACCCGGGCCCCCTGCATTGGAAGCGCGGAGTCTTGACCACTGGACTGCCAGGGAAGTCCCCTCTGGGTCAATTTTTCATCATCATCTTACTCTTAGGGTTTTACAGTTGACTCCGCCCTCTTTTCTGAAACATTTTCTTCCCTTAGTATTACGGATGCCACACCCTCCTGGCCTTTCTGCTTGTCACTGTTTGCTCCTCCTCTGACCCGAGTGCTCCCAGACATCTGCCCTCTTCTCCATTAATACTCTTTACTTGATGTCCTCTGGTCCATAGTTCTAAATATCACATGTAAAATATGACTCCAAGATTATCTCCCTAGCCTGACTTCTCCCCTGAGCAACAGCAGTGGATATCCTACTTGCCTACTGCACATACTCTGAGCTGTATAAAGTCATCCACCTGAGTACACTCTATACAGAACTCCTGCTTTATTCCTCAGAAACCAGTGCACCCTGCCCCAGTCTTCCTCATTCCAGTAAACGGTGCTACCGTTCACCCAGATGCTCGGGCAAAACAGGTGACTCCTCCAAATTTTTTTTCGTCCTGGGGCGAAGGTAAGAACCATTTGGCTCCACTTTCAAATTACATTCCAAATCAGACCACTTCTCACTAACTTCCAGCTCTACATCTCTAGTTCAAGCTACCACATGGCAACTGAACTACTACCAGCCTCCTTAGGAGCTGGTTTTTCCACTTTCCTCCAACTCTCAGTTTGCCACTCAGCAATCAGTCATCAAAAGCATAAGCCAGGTATCACTCCCCTGCACAAAATCCTCTAATGGCTTCTCATTACAGACAGAACAAGGACTGTAAAGTTCCATCTTATTTACTCCTTGCTAACCACTCTGACCTCATCTCCCATCACTCTTCATTAACGTCCAGCCACACTGGCCTTATAAGTATTTTAATAGGTCAAGTTCATTCCTCCCTTAAGGTCTATGCATTTACAGTTACTGCTCTCTGAAAAACTCTTCCTTCAGATCTTTATTATTTTAGTCTCCAGGCAAAGCATTAACTCCTCAGAGAGGTAGGTCTTCCTTGATCACTTCCCTTTCAAAAGCAGACACCACACCCTAGTCACTCTAACTTAATCTAATTCTAATCTAGCTACAGTCTCTTCACATTTATCACCACCTGAAACTGTATTTGCTTACTTAATGTATAGCCTCTTTCCTCAAGCTCTGTGAGGGCAGGCCTCATTTAGCGCCTAGCATACAAAAGATGCTCAATAAAGAGTTGAGTGAATGGCACTACTGTTTTCTTAATCACCAAGGCTTGAAATTTTGAGCATCACTGGGTGAGCTTTTTCTGATCTTATTTAATAACGGAACAGTAAACATTTAGGACAGGTTAGCTGAAATGCATTAACACATACCAGTGTAAATACAAAGATTTTCCAGATTATTTTCTAGTACTGAAAAAAATCTACCCAAAAACCCCAAACAAGCAATTTATAAGATATAAATATTACTTTGGAACTTGATATATAGAACTGACTATAACTTCTGACTACAAACTACTGACTATATTACAGAATTACCATAATGTAATGAAACTAGTATCTTCCATTTGAAATAAATTTATATACATATATATTTTTTGGAATGGTAGATAGTTATTAGGTAAATCTAACACTTAAGAAAAAAAAGGACAGTCATTTAAAAATTAAGTATGAAGCTAAAATCATCACTGGCAATAAGCACTTAATACCCACGATGACAGGGACCATAGTTGTCTCCTTGCCACTGTATCTCCAAAATGAATGAATCCACGTGTGAACCGTGATATTTCAACATCATGAATTATACCACAATTATAATGTAAACGAGATCCGAGACGTATCATTTTAGTCCACTAAACGAAAAAGGAAACTAGCTGGGGATCAGAAAGCAAATCTGGCAGTTTGAAAATGAGGTTTTAAAACTCTAAAGGATTGCGGTTGTTTTCCACACTGAAGGCGATGCAGAGTAGAAATGCTCGCACTAATAATTCGAACTCCATAGCTGTATTAAAGAGGTTCCATAAGAGAAACTTAATGGCCACTGTACTCGACACTAGATACCTCCTTTCAGATGAGACTGGGAGGCAGATGCACGGCAGCCCCAAAACACCAAGTCGGGCAGAGATCACCCAACAAGTTGGTAAACTTCTCGGGGTCCCGCAACTGTGAAGAGCGAAGGCCCTCTTCTATAACTAGGGACTGACCCCAAGAAAAGAACGAATCTGAGTGCACCCGGGGAAAGCAAAAAGGGAAAGCGACAGGGCTGCCATGCTCCTAACTCCACCCTGTCCGCGTTTAACCCCAAGGAGGCCCAGTCTCGCCGGCCGCCGCCTCTCCTTCCACCCTTTTCCAAGCCCACCGAGCGGCGCCAGGAAAAGGTCCCGCCGCCCTCCTCTCCCCTCCCCCAAACCAGGAGCCGAAGAGGCCAGGGAAGGTTAAGAGCTTCCGTTCCTTCCCCGCCCAAATGGGAAGGGGTGGGAAGTGGGATGGCGAGCGCGCCCACTAGGAGCCTCCCCCGTCCCCCACGCTGGCCCGGAGCACCGTTTCCACCCCAATCCGAGACTCACTCGTCAGCCACGCAGCAACCGAAGCCACCGCACCGGGTCCACGCGCACCGCCACAGCCCCTAAACCAGGGCCGCCCCCCCCCACCCCCAGCTGCCTGCCGCCGTGGGTTCCGGGGCAGTTGGAGGAATCACTTCCGCTGGGTCACGGACGCTTTCTACGCGCGGGAGATTAGTACCTAGTGAGGCGGGGACTCCCTGAGTCCGTCGCCCGCCGGCGTCTACAGGAAATGCGCAGCGCCCCCTCCCTTCTCCCACAGGCCAACCCTAAAAGGACGGTGGTCCCTGGAAAGTCTCAACCAATCCTATTCTGGGTCTTTTGACTCCCAGCATGCAGCGCCGATCCTGATCTGATTTCCGCGGGGATAGCATCCTCAAAGAGGTGCTGGGGGGCGGAGAGGTGGGGGGTGGGGTGGGGCCGAGGCAGCATTGCATCCTGGGATTTGTAGTTTATCTGGCGGGTAGTGTCGTGCTTGGTTGAGGCAGCACTGCAACCTGGGACTTGTAGTTTCTCACCCTGAATGTTAAGAACCTTGTAATTTTGGAGGTTGTTCCTGCCGCTCGTTTGGGGGTACGCGTAGACGTCGGAGACTATCTGCAGAGGAAAGATTGGATAGTGGGAGTGCGGTTGCTATGCTAACAAGATCGTGCTCTTTATGAAGCAGCTTGTCTTTTGTGAAAAGTTGCAGAGCTTGTTGAAGAGCATCCCAACAACTCGCGAAATCGCTGGCCTCATTTCCTCTCTTCCCGGTACCTTTAAGTGTTTACTGAAAACTAACCACGCCCCCCACCCCCACTCTGAGGCCTTTCCCCCACCTCCTGCCCCCTCCCAGCCACAGGGTTGCTCAGCTTCTGGATTCTGAAATCACTCACCGAAAGTCCTGCCACCAGTACTCAGTTCTGACACCATCTTTTTCACTCCACGCCCCCTTTGCCCCTCCTTCCTCTCCTCTCTCTCCCGGTCTCTCCCCGGCGCGCTTCCCCCCACCCCACATTCACCTATCATTTTTACAAATCTTACCTCCACTTAATATGGGGTTATGTCCTGATAAGCCCAGTGGAATTTGAAAATGTCGTAAGTCGAAAATGCATTTAATAGACCTAACATAATTTAGCCTAGCTTATCTTAGAATGTGCTCAGAATGCTTACATTAGCCTGCAGTTGGGCAGAAATCGTCCAATGGAAAGCTTATTTTATAATAAAGTGTTGATTATCTTAGGTAATTTGTTGATTACTTGTACTGAAAGTGAAAGACAATGGTTTTATAAGTGTATTGGTTGTTTACCCTCCTATTTGGGTGGCTGATTAGGAGCTTCAACACCGGGGAGAGAGTTTCATACTGCCTATTGGTAGCCCAGGAAAACATTACAATTTCAAATTGTGTACGGTTTCTACTGAATGCGTATAGCTTTGGCACCATCGTATAGTCAAGAAATTGTAAGTCGAACTATCGTAAATCAGAGCCGTCTTTACTGGCTTTCCCTTGGTGAAATTTAGGCACCCTTCCAGGAAGGGTGAAACAGCTAAATAAAGTTCACCCTCTGTTTACCGGACTGTGGCATGAAAGGAATGTAGGGCCAAGACTCTCACCATTGCAAGTTGCTCAACTTCGACTGTTGTGAAACGATGTCCGCAAAAGGAAAACAGATACAGGCGATCCAAAGTTTGTTGACCTAATTAGTGACTTTTGCCTGCAAGACTTTTTTAGTTCATTTGGCAGATAAAAGGTGTTGCAAAAGCAATACCGGACAGACCGTCCTGGGTTAATTTTTCAAAGCCTTTGCAAAAATTATTAAACAAAGTTTTTTGGTTATAATAGCTCAGAGTAGCAATGGGGTGAGAAGAGAAGGATGTGGGCCCATTTTCAGTTATACTTTTCCTCCTCTACTTCAGAAGTGTTGTTTTCTCCAAAACTTTCCCTTTTCCTCATTGCATTATCACCTTCTATAAGGGTCACTCTGTTAGTTGCCTAGAGAATGATAGAATTTTCCAGGTGAGGATCCTGAGGCCAGCTAATGCCAGATTTAGGGCTAATCTAGTCTAGGACTGTTTTTTAAAAAACGCAAAATTTTACTTAAAAATTTTATTTATTATGTAATCAATATAATATATGCCTATAAAAATGCAGAAATAGTCAATATAATATATGCTTATAAAAATGCAGAGATTGCAGATAAATTTGGTTTTTTAATACACTTTTACATAGATTATACAGTGTATATATATGGTTATTATACTATTTATTTTCCAACTTAACAAACCTCAATAACCCACACTTCTGTAACTAAAATCTCAACAAGCATCATTTTTATTGTCAGTATATACTTACATTGTCTAAATGTACCATGACTCACTTAAGTATTTCCTTAAATGTTGGACATTGACCATATTTCCTTTTTTAATCACTTCATGTAATACTGTGTTCAGTATCTGCAGAAATCTTTGACCATGTTTCTATTTCTTTAGAATATGAACATTTTAAAAGATCTTGATAATCTGTTGACAAATTCTTTTCCCCAAATATTCTCGTAATTTATTTTCGAAACTAGTAATGTATAAAGAAGCATTTAGGGTCCTTATCAAAATACTAGCTTTACCACAATTTTTATTTTCTTTTTTCCATCACACCATTCTGCCCTTTAGCTCATGTTAAAGGAGGGGAAGGGGGCTGGTGAATGGGGAGGAAATACAGCCAAAAAACAACAAAAAAAAAACACATACAATAATGGTGGTCATACATTCTACAAGTGATAGCCATTTTCAATTTTTCCATCACCCTTCATCTTTAAAGGGACCCTCTCAGATGATATGAATGGGGAATCAAGGCTTATTTTGTAAACAGCCTTAGTATCATTCTAAAATCCCACTCAAGTAGTATATATTCAAAAATTGTCTCTAAACTACTAGAATTGGGAAATCGTTTTTTTTTTTTTAAAGATATTGAGGGTAGGAGTTTATTAATTAATTAATTAATTTTTGCTGTGTTGGGTCTTTGTTTCTGTGCGAGGGCTTTCTCTAGTTGCGGCGAGTGGGGGCCACTCTTCATCGCGGTGCGCGGGCCTCTCACTATTGCGGCCTCTCTTGTTGCGGGGCACAGGCTCCAGACGCGCAGGCTCAGTAGTTGTGGCTCACGGACCTAGTTGCTCCGCGGCATGTAGGATCCTCCCAGACCAGGGCTTGAACCCATGTCCCGTGCATTAGCAGGCAGATTTTCAACCACTGTGCCACCAGGGAAGCTCAAGAATTGGGAAATCTTTTTAACCATGAATGACAATTTCATATAATTCTACAGCACAGAATTTTCAGAATATCATCTCATTTTAGCTACTTAGAAACCTTGAGTAGACCAAATATTATTATTTCCATTTGCTTACAGTTTCTGTAGGAAGAAACTAAGCTTAACAGAAGATAAAAATTCAGGTTCTCTCAATATCTATATATTTTTTAAAATAATTATTTAATTAATTTTTGACTGCGTTGGGTCTTTGTTGCTGGGTGGGCTTTCTCTAGTTACTTAGATCGGGGGCTACTGTTCGTTGCAGTGCGCGGGCTTCTCACTGCGGTGGCTTCTCTTGTTGTGGAGCAGGGGCTGTAGACGTGCGGGCTCAGTAGTTGTAGCTCATGGGCTCTAGAGCACAGGCTCAGTAGTTGTGGTGCACGGGCTCAGTTACTCCGCGGCATGTGGGATCTTCCCGGACCTGGGCTCAAAACCCGTGTCCCCTGCATTGGCAGGCAGATTCTTAACCACTGTGCCACCAGGGAAGTCCCTCAATGTATTGTTGAAGTAATTATACAAAGAGGCCATTAGACTGAGATGGCTCTGATGCCTTGGTAGTTTAGTGAGCAACCCAAAAGCTAAGCCAGATTCAATTCTTATAAATACCTCAAGGTATTTACAACTAATCACAAACAACCAATCACAAACAGCCAGCTAGATTTCCTCAAATAATGCAACAGCATAAGCTATAAGCAGGGACTTCCCTGGCGGTCTAGTGGTTAATACTCCACACTTCCACTGCAGGGGGCATGGGTTAGATCCCTGGTCGCGGAACTAAGATCCTACATGCCTCACAGTGTGGCATAAGCTATAACCAATCAAATAATTTCCTTGCTTTGCATGTGCATCTTCTCCATAAAAACCTTGCCTCTAGCTCCTGTCAGTGGAATGCTCCTGACCACTTCCAGATTTGGTGCTGTCCGATTTGAATAAATTTTTGCTCAAATAAACTCAAAAATTTTAGCATGCCTCAGTTTATCTTTTTAAAGCTATTAAAGAAAAACACTGTATGAACAGAAAAATTTACATACATATCAGTACAATAATGGCTAATTGATATTGTTTGTAATATGAATTACACTAAAACAAGAGTTTTTGAAAGGTAAGTGGAAGATAACTTTAAAAAAGGGAAGTTACAGTAGCAAGGCATGGAAACAATCTAAATGTCCATCGACAGATGAATGGATAAAGAAGATGTGGTATATATATATATATATATGTGTGTGTGTGTGTGTGTGTGTGTATATATGTATGTGTGTATATATATATATATGTATATATACAGTGAAATATTACTCAGCCATAAAAAAGAATGAAATAATGCCATTTGCGGCAACATGGATGCAACTAGAGATTATCATACTAAGAGAATGAGTCAGAAAAAGACATATGATATCACTTATATGTGCAATCTAAAATATGGCACAAATGAACCTATCTACAAAACAGAAACAGACTCACAGAGAACAGGTGTGGTTGCCAAGGGGCAGAGGGAGGGGGAGGGATGGACTGGGAGTTTGGGGTTAGTAGATGCAAGCTATTACATTTAGAATGGATAAACAACAACGTCCTACTGTATAGCACAGGGAACTATATCCAATCTCCTGAGATAAACCATAATGGAAAAGAATATGACAAAAGAACGTATATATGTGTGTAACTGAGTCACTTTGCTATAATATGTAATGTGCAGAAATTAGCACAACATTGTAAATCAACTATACTTCAATGAACAAACAAAAGAAAGAAAGAAAGTGAAGTTATCCATGAAGAAATAGTATAATTTTATCCTTCTGGATACCCAGAAAAAAGTAGACAGGATTTGGAGTTGCGAAGGTGATAGTATTTTCGACTATTAGTTTGTTCCTCCCCTATGCCAATAACATATATATTTTATTTTATTTTATAAATTTATTTTATTTTTGGCTGCACTGGGTCTTCATTGCTTTGCGTGGGCTTTCTCTAGTTGCTGTGAGCAACTACTCTTGGTTGTGGTGTGCAGGGTTCTCACTGTGGTGGCTCCTCTTGTTGCAGAGCACGGGCTCTAGGCACGCGGGCTTCAGTAGTTGTGGCACATGGGCTCAGTAGTTGTGGCTCACGGGCTTTGGAGCACAGGCTCAGTAGCTGTGGCGCACGGGCTTAGTTGCTTGGCGGCATGTAGGATCTTCCTGGACCAGGCCTTGAACTCGTGTCCCCTGCATTGGTAGGCAGACTCTCAACCACTGCGCCATCAGGGAAGCCTGCCAGTACCTTACTGAGTGAAAAACATGGTTCTGAAATAGCAAACAAAAGCGTCCTTTACTAGTTGGATGCTCATCCCTCAATACTCAGCTGAACCTGAAGCCTTTGGACATTCAGAGGCCAAATTAATCATTCTGTCTCTCAGGCCTCTGCAGCATTTTGTAAATTGGTATATGTCAATTATATTTCAGTATTATATTTTAGTTTATTTTTTTATTTTTTTTGGCTGTACGCGGGCCTCTCACTGCTGTGGCCTCTCCCGTTGCGGACGGAGCACAGGCTCCGGACGCGCAGGCTCAGCGGCCATGGTTCACGGGCCCAGCCGCTCCGCTGCATGTGGGATTTTCCCAGACCGGGGCACGAACCCGTGTCCCCTGCATTGGCAGGCGGACTCCCAACCACTGCACCACGAGGGAAGCCCCTATTTTAGCTTATTTTTAGGTGTTTCCCTCACTATGTACGCATTGTGGATTTCCAGTTTTATTCAGTATCTTTGTATCCTCTGCTTCCAACTTAGTCCTGGTAGTTGGCGAGGCGCTCAAGATCTCTTTAACAAATAATGAACGATTGTGTAAACGGATGGGAGTGATTTCCGAAGACAAATTTGACAAGTATCAACATTATATGAACGAGTTCCATTCATTTTCTACCAACCTATTGGTTGGATTAAATTACTATTCAGTTTTGTTCAAACGTGCACTGTATTATTCCTCTGTGCCACCAGGTTAGAAACATTTTCCGCAGAGAAAATGGTTTTTTGACCACAGAAAATTATGCCCACGAGAATGAAAGATTTAACCCTGCTTCCAGGCTTTGTCCTTCGCGCGTGTCTCTCCCCTTTGTCCTTCCACACGGTTATAAAGAGCGCCAGACTCCGACGAGGGGAAGCAGCGCGCAGGATGGCTGTTTGCTGGTCCTGGCAGCGAGGGTCAGGTCGGATTCAGAACTCAGCCCACAAGGAACGCGTGTGCCTGGGCAGGTTGCCGGCGGGCCGTCCATTCTGCGCACGCGCAGGCGGCCAGTGCGGCCCGCGGACCTGGCGGCGGCGCCGAGTGCGCGGCTCGTTTTTGCCGCGGTCTGGTGAGGAGCTGCGCCTCGGCGTGCTCGGCTGCCGCCGCAGTGCAGTCGCCGTTTCTGGTCACGCGCGGGATGCTGCTTCTGGCGTTGGGCGGCCCGTGGGCGGCCGGACTGCGGCTCGGTGGGAAGAGGACGGCACCGTGGGCAGCCACTGCGCTCCGAGGCCCTAGGGCGGCCGTCTGGCGGGCGGCCTCCTGCAGAGGCTCCTCGGGGCGGGGCGGCGGCGGGGGCGCGGGGCTGTCGGCACCCGCGACGCTTCTGCCGTGTCGGGTGCGAGCGCAGGTCGGCGGTCAGAGGGCTAGCGGACCCGAGTAAGGGTGGGGGTGGGAGTAGCACCGGGCCTGGGGAGCCCGGCTCTCCCATAGCTTCTCCCCGGCCTGCACGGCGGCTCTGGTGCTGAATGAGCCCCGTGCTATGGGGCTGGTAGGAGTGGCCGGCCTCGGCTTGGGCAACAGGCCGGTGCTCCCGGGGTTCGCAGTCCCCGCGAGTCCAGCAGTGTCCCTTGGAAAGTGCCTATTTTCTGGGCGGTTCCAGTCACTTACAGAGATGGTTGCAAATCCATTGGGCTTGTGAGGACTCTTATTATTATTATTATTATTTTCTGTCCTTGAGCGCAAGCTCGGAAGGGTTAATTTGCAGCTAAATTAGATGCGCCACGTGGAGACCGAACTGAAAGAACTCGGGGAACCTGATTTTGAGTTTGTTCTGTTTTTTATTAGGTGGCTCTATTTTTAGGAAATCCTTTGCTTCCTGGAAAAATGGGATGGAGACGTTAATCCTTATCATTTTAATCTGAATAAATTGTCTCCTAATCCTGCCCTGTAAAATACTAGGATTAGCAAACATGGTTGAAACTTGGGAGGAAAGGCCAACGCGGCAAGTGGAATCTCATTAAATTTCAGCATAAAGGGATTAGGCATGCCTTTTACATCTTGAAGAGTGTGTGTTGTGAAAGTCATTTTCAGAGGTTCGGGCAACTCTTTTGTTCCTGTGAAATTTGATGTAGGAGTTCAAGTAAAGCATTTTCCTTGCGAGGAGCAAGGGATGGATACGAGACCCTTGGGGAAAGAGTTATTATTATTATTATTTTTAATACTAGCTATAGTATAAATATTTTAGAAGTATTAAAAGCAGTCTGGGCTTTAAACTCTCTGAATTTGCAGTATTTTACTTACATAATTAAACTTAATTTTTTAAAAAAGCTGATGCATTTAAATCTTTGACAGTTGGCCGAGAGTGATGTGGAGTAGAAGAAACTATTCCACTAACTTTTTACTTGTTTAATGTCACACTTTAAAATGCTTCTAGCTGGGATGCAAATTTAGGTCTTCAAACTCCCAATTCAGTGTCTACTTGTGAGTGGAATTAAGGAAAGCCATTTTGTTACTCAGTTTGCTTTCTTTAGCTTTGTAGATGATTTGGAAGAATTCCTTAAATCACCCCCATGTGATAAGTTTTCTTTTACTCTTTATTTTTTTCAAAATAAACTTAAAAAAATGTAAAAGTTGGTCTAAAATGCAGTTTATCATGTACTCACATTATAATGGTCTCTGTTTCAATAGATACCTGTTTGTTGGGAAAGATGTGTTCGATGTTTACATACACAACTTGAAAAATCAGAAGATGGAAGGCTGATTTATACTGGGAATCTGGCCCGAACAGTATTTGGTGGGTAATCAAAAGTGAGAATATTTCCTTCTCCCCCCCCTTTTACTTATTAAAAAAAAAGTTCTTAGCATATGATAACTTATTATTTTAGCACTTCGTAATTGCAAGACAGAAGGAAAAATTATAATTTTTTTCTTGTTGTCTGTTGATAAAAGATTTAGAGGTTAAGACCTTTGCATTTTTAGGAGATTTTAAAAAGGTTTTTGTAGACTCTTATGATTTTGTGATCTTATGGCTGGGCACTAAAGATTCCATCCTTTGGTCACCTCTCGGGATGTTTAGCAACAAAATAAAACAGAACAAAAAGTGTATGTTTATGTAATGTTTGAATATGCAGAGGAAAAAAATATGGGCAAATACCTCTTAGGAGTAGTTATTTGGGGTAAGTAGACATTTACAGTATATGTTTTTAGATTTTGCAGTTAAAATGAGCAGTAATACTTTTATAATTCAAAGATATATTAATTTTACATTTTTTTAGGTCATCTTAGAATTTTCAGCACACATATTTACTTAGTGGTGTTCCAGGTAGTAGGGAGTTATCTTGGAGAAGGAAAGGGCAGTGTATTAGATAGCTACAAGTTTAAAGCTCTTTCCTTAAGTCATAATTCAGTATTTAGTATGGAATATTTTAGTAG